ATTTATTCGGATTTTGGTTAATCAGGGTGTTGTGCGTCACTATATCAATACCGTGTGGATGTTCAATTTAGTTTTGTTCGGTTTTGTATGAGTGGTCCTGGTCTACACCCAGCATAAAATTGTGTGGTTTACGCATTGGGTACATTTTATTAACGGTCGACATTTTTAATGTTCTATGCAAATATCTAAATCATACCTATACTAATATTTATTATGTGATTGACTTTGATACAACATTGCATTTTGTCATAATTTAGTTGAATATATTATATAGGTATAGCCGTATATGCACTATAATAATTACTACGCCTTTAATTTCTAAAAAATGTTTTTGAATTCTGCTAATTTCTAGTTGAGCAGTGTACTTCGTGATTAGCCTGTAAGAACATTGTTTTAGTTTGTATGAACATTTTATTGTGGTAAACGCTATTATAATAGGTATGTTTATTATACGTGTTTAATTTAAAACAAGATTAATTCGATTGAAAACTTTAACTTAATTTAATAAACGTGTATATAATAAATGGGCATACATTGACCAATCATCAAAGGTTAAATATTTGTACTGTAGTCACAAACATTAGCGTTTCAATAGCGTTTAGGTATGTGTAATCAATCGGGAAATCAAATGCCTTATAGTATATCCTTGGTTCAATACAATTATATTAATTTTATTATTATTTTTTTTATATTTATATATACTGTGCCGTAGAAAATCAATCACTCACATCTGATTTGATTTATGTTACGTCTGCGATTTTTTATTTAAGGGGGGGGGACTTATTCGCTCAATGATATCATACTGCATCCGTATTTTCATTTACGAAAACCATTTTATTTATTCGGAATTCGTTAGCGAATACCGTACTCGCATGTCTCCAATAACGGAGCTGTAACGGTATATGCAAGAGAAAAAAAAATACAATTGTGTTTTCATTTCATATTTTTTTTTTTTCGTAAATGATTCCGTATTCATAAACATTTTTTTTAAAAAAACGAAGTGCAAACAAAGAGCCTTTTATCTTTATTTAAAATACGGCTTTGTATCACTGCCTTGTCTCATCAGCGTGCTTGTCACTATTGAAAATAATTTGTATTTTAAGTTCACGTTGCATACATATTATGACACTCCATACTCATTGCAAACACAACGACCCCATTTAAAATCTGTTAAACTCGAAAACATTGTACTGCTTACGAAATGTTCACATAACGCTGCACAGATGAATTAAAGTTATTGTTTTTTCTTTGTAAAACGGAGCTTGCGAGGTTCACATAATAATTAAAAGTATCCTTTATCAAGCGATAAAAATCATTAGTGTATGTTTGATATAATATTAAGGATCGGTTCTGTTGACCATACAATTTGTATTATGTTGTATGATAAATTCATAATATTTGTATTACATTGTTAGTATTATTATTATTATTACTATTGGCAGTTCTTTGTTAAAATGTATCACAAAGAAAAATTTCTTTTTCCATGGTACTCACAATGTTGTTATGGTTTTGAAGGAGATCAATGCTTACCGAGACGAATAAATTCTCAGATAATGATATTTTTTTTGAAATGAAATTACTGCAGTGTTGATTTGTATATTATTGTATTTTTCTCCTTAAACTCTGTCAGACCAATGGTTAGTTTACTTAAAGAACATTTTGTGTTTTAAATTAAATAACTGGTCATTGTTATTCAACCTAATGAAAAAGTTCGATTTCTGATGAAAAAAATCTGGAAAAATGAAGTAAAAACCTAATTATAATAATTTGAAAGCATTTAATTTTCTAATGAGAAACTTAAATTGTGAGTGGTCATCGTTATGTCTCGTTTATAGATGGACTTTGAAAATACCTTTTCGGCCTCCTCAAATATTTTAATATCTCAATATTCGCAGAAGCTTCTTAATCCTTCAGATAGGTACCTACTTAATGACTTGTTCAATTAAAATGGAATTTAGCGTCGCGGTGACAACTCTTTTCACTGCTAACTCACGGCTATTCAAATGATCCGAAACTTTTCGTAGGTACCTTTTACGTAGGTATCTTCTAATTGTTTGATTAGAACAATGACACAAAGCTTATATTATATTCATCATACACGTCATTATATTAATATTAAAATGTATATAAAAATAATATTATAAACATAATTATGGTGTTTAATTCACTGAAACCCTCAATATGATGCCGTATCGAATTTTTATGAAGACTTTTTTATATATGTTTTCTACAAAACATATACATTTATATTTGTTCAATAGTGAATAAATATCGATCGTACTAAATCGTGCGAAGTTCTACAACGCGATGTATAATATTTTCAGGGATCCTGCGGTGCTTAAACCATTTTATTTATTTTTTTTTTTTTTTGTTCAAGTCATGTAAAGTTTCCATATCTGTTTACAATGCTGGAAAAAATTCCAAACTCTGTAGGGTATACCATATAGCGAACGTGTTATGTACATAATATATATATTGTTTATATAATATATATATATGAACCTATATATATGTGTCCTATAAAATTAAATAATTACATTTTTACATTTGGTTTTTATCGCGCAGACAAAACATGATTGATTTAAATTACTCTTTCGGTAGGAAATTCGATTAAAGTTAAAATAAAAAAATAATAAATGTTTATTCGAGGTTATACATTTTGTATGCGTAAGCGTATATCTACCGTCGAAATCGTTCGTGTTGTATAAACTATACGTACCTACTATATAAATAGGTTCATATATTAAATATTTAATCGTATCTATAATATAACACCGAGCGAAAATTGTATACGTTATATACGTAGGTAAGACATTCTATTATTCTGTGAGGTAAATTTGAAAAGAAATAAATGAAAAATGAAACACTACGAGTGAAGACAAAAATCAATACGATCACAATATTTGAATATCCATTATATTTTGGCTTAATTATTATAACGTGAGAATAAAAACTCGGACATCTCGGATGTACATGAAACCAATTAGGAGGATACAAATTTGTATTTAAAAATTTGAATATTAATTATACTTTATTAGTTTACAGGCCATATTGTGTACCTTCCCTATACCTACGCTAATTTCAAATGTTCTACCCTATACCCGCGTGGTACTTGTTTACGTATAATATACTTTACCTATGTTATAACAACAGTTTTGGACTTTGTAGAACGTTACGGGATAATGGACGTGCGTACTTTTATTTGCTTAGTTATTTTCAGTTATCCTATAACAATAAAAATAGCCGACCGTACACAATAATATAGGTAGGTAGATGTATTTATACATATGTACAAAAAACAACGCACACGTGTATAATATATAGAAGTTAAAATGTGTACTCTCGCGTACAAACACTACTGCTCGATATATATGCATTGTTCACAACAATATACTATAACTATACTATACTATACTTACCCCAAATTATCATTAGTTAAAAATTTAAAAAAAAAAAAACAGAATAATTATTTCACTCTGGAACGCAATTATGTCTATACCTTATACATATACTATAATATATACACATTATAATAGTATATATGAAACCAAACGGTTGACGCAGGCCCTTACCGCTCTTAAACCCTCCTCACAAAAAAAAAAAAAAAAGGTGGTGAAAAAGAAAACGGTTTTAGTGCATGCGCCTTATTAAAAACGCATATAACCCGCACCGCCGCAGAAAAAAAAATTTAACCGTCAAACTATTGCCAAACCTCACGACGTGTATTTCTCCGAAGAGTAGGTACCTATATGCCGGCTATACCTTATTACCGGTCGTGTGTGACGTCGTAGATACCAGATCCTATATGGATTTAAAGATGCGGTATATGACGTGTATAATATTATATAGGTACATATTATATACTTAACGAATTTACCGAGTTTACGCGTCTAAGTGAAAAGTTTTAATCGGCGTGCTGCATACACCGTGCGGGTGTGTGATGACGTGTACCCTATACGTACATCTCCGCAGCCGAAATGCTCTCGAAAACAATTATTCAAAATCACGCCCGTTAAACAGGGACAGGTGTTGTTTTAATCGGATGTGCGGATTTCTGAACAAGTCGCGTTCCTCCGGAAAGGACCGCCACCGGATGCAGATCATATTATTTAAATGAGAAAAGGTTGCCGTGCAAAAGTTCACACATTTCCATATACGAGTTCCAGCGTGTGAGTTTGTGTGTGCGTGTGTGTGTGAGCGTGTGTACTTTTAAGCCTTGGCCAGTATTTTGTATATTTTTTTTGCTTATACGAGCACAAAGCTCGAAATTAATATTTTTTCACCCTAACTTCCACCGCTCGGTTTTTTCTTTCCCACTCTATCGCCCTTTTTTACAAAAAAATAAAAAATAATATATATATTATGCACATATACATATATATATATATATTTATATTGAACTAAAAAAAAAAAACCTGTGCGCATATATATTGTTATTTACATATTGAGCAAAACGACCGTAGAACGGCGGGGGAAATATTGAAAACAGTAATCGACCGAAACCCTCACATGAATTTGTATGAATAAAAACGTAAAGATAAAAATGAATAGATGTTTCTTCAAATATGTATATATTATATCCTCCAGTCTCCTTCAAAAATCCCACATTACATTTGTATAACGTCTTCGTCGTGCATTCGTGTGCGTGCGAGTGTGTGTATGTGTGTGGATGTGTATATACGTGGCGAGCGCTAAGGGTATATGCGGGCTCGTTCCACTCTCACAAAAGCCACTCTATATACGACGACGTTCCCATTTCGTTGATTAAACCTTCCCGGAAAAATGTCTTACTATATTATTATTATTTACGGCACGCGTGCTCTTAAGTAGCATCCGAAGCAGTGCAATTTATTAAAAAATAATAATAATAATAATAATATAACATATAAAATCCGTATAGGTGTTATATATATATTAACACCTAGGGGTACCTATGATGTAGTTTATATGAATTATATATAAATTCAATTATAATTTGGTCGTCACGTTTCGTTTTTCAGGCCGAGATATGGAGCGTTTTCATTGCCATCCTGAGGAAATCCGTTAGAAATCTGCAAGCGTGCACCGACGTCGGACTAATTGAGCTGGTCGTAAACAGACTAGCGCGTGCCGACACCGTCGTAGCAGGTAATAATAATGTTCAACAATAAATAACACGAAAATTGATGTCTGAGTGAGTAGCTATATATATATGAATCCCGGAATAAAAATCCCCCGGAAAAAAAATCCCCGGAAAAAAAACCCCCGACGAACAACCCCGGAAAAAAAATCCCCGACCCTAGGAAAAAAAATCCCCAGACTACAATATTACTCACAACCTCATGCAAATGGTTGAACAAATATTTTTTAAACGTTAATTAGTATCTATAATTACGTGTTCTTCTTTTGGCAATTCTAATATTGCATGTGGTACATTACTCACAGACTCAGCAAATATTTGACTCGGTGTTGCATGTGATATTTGTGCTTTTATCTTCGTTGTATTTTGTAATTTTAAAGCAGCGACTGCATTTTTTTTAGAATCATGTACATGGTCATGATCAAGACCAACAAATATTGGATTTTAAATATTTAAACTAGTCTTAAGTACACTCGGACATTTTAAAGAGCTAAATTTAGAACATCGCCAACGTAAAAAATTTGAACACTCTTTTTGAAAATGATAAATAAAGCCGATGTGCGTAATTTTAGGTTTTTTACCATTAGTTTTTAAAATTTCCAGCGTTTCCATAGCGTACCTAGTCGTTTTGTACTTGTGTATCGTGTAATACTAAATTTGTAGCTAAGATAACGAGTATCCAAATTATGTTCGTGAGCCCATTACAGATTAGATAGGTAGGTGTAACCTTTTACCTTATATTATATATTATCAAAGGTATATACTAAACCGCTTATCGTCAAAATGTCACAGAAAACGCAATATTTTATTTCGGGGATTCAATTTTTACAGAATTATACCAACATAAAATATATAGGTACCTATATTTTGTATAATATTTTTGTATACTATGTTTTACTAAGTTAAACTGTATTATTAATTGACGTATCGATCATTCTAAATATTTTTATAATTTTTTTAACAATATACTAGTATATTATATTATAATAGAATATAATATACGTATTTGTCATTAAATATTAATTATAGATACTAATTAACGTTCAAAATATATTTGTTCAACCATTTGCATGTGATTGTGAGGAATATTGTAGCTGGGGATTTTTTTTCCTAGGGTCGGGGATTTTTTTTCCGGGGTTGTTCGTCGGGGGATTTTTTTTCCGGGGATTTTTTTTCCGGGGGATTTTTATTCCGATTACCCTTTTTTATATATTTGATTGTTTAATAAATACTATAAAATATCCCTGTAACAAAATAATCCGTTTTTAATAATGGTTGTTTTAAATAATACAAATTTAATATCGAAACGGACGTATGATTTCAAATTTTATTTCAAAGTGGGCAATAAAATAATATCTTCGAATCCAATATAAAAGAACGGCATTGTAAAAACCATAAAACTGTATAATATTATTTCCAAATACTGTTAAAAATGTATTCGGATAGTTTTAGTTTTAAAAAACTTTTAAATGTCATAAAGTGATGACAACTACCTATTTCATTAAGATTAGGGGGTACCTATAACTATTGGTATACATGGAAGTATAGTAATTTAATTTAATAAGTATCTTGTATCTATTATGTAACTGTATAACACAGATTTCCTTCATTTAAGACTGGATAAAATTAAAATAAAGGTGCTCAGCTGTACAGTAGGTTACAAGTGGATCACTGTATAATGGATGATATTAAATTTGTATTCAATGATTTAATATCATTGTACAAGAAAAACGATTCTGAGCGGAGACTTTATGTCAGACTAACTACTCGCGTGGAATCTTGTTTTACATTTTCAATCCTTAGATATACAAGTTGAACAATTTATGAATTTTTAACTAAAAAATAATTATTCAATTTTAAATTTGATAAATGCTGTCAAAATTCGATCTTTAAATGCTTAAAAAAAAAAATTGTGCCTATTTTTAATATTTTTCAACTGCTATTGTAACAATATATATCAGGAGCCTTGTGTTAAATTTTTACACATTTTGGCCCAACAGATAAAACTTTATTGATATTAGCAGAAAAAAAAATAAAAAAAATTTAAATATAAAATTGTCCTTAAACAGCTAAAAGTCGAAAATATTTTGAAAATTTTATCAAGTATAAGAATTGATGAAATAAACATTCAGTGAAATTTTCATGTACCTATCTACAGTTATTCGTTTTTGAATCACAACAAAATAAGAAAACCGCTACATGAGAAATCGAGTGAATATCCAATGTTGTATAAATTTGAATTTCAAACGCACATAAAAATTTAATTCGACTTTCTTACAGACATTTTTTATTTTTGATAAAGGTAAATAATCTTATAAGGAATCTTGTATTAAATTTTAAAATCTTAGATATAAAAAGAAAAAATTTTATGAATTTTTAACTCAAAATAATTTTACTAATTTTTGTGATTTTTCCACATTCTGTCAAAATTTGAATTTTAAATGCTTATAAAAAAAACTGTGACTAAGGATTTTTAATATTCTTTCAAATGTCAATGTAACAATATAGTAAGAGCCTTGTATTAAATTTTCAAGTATTTTTACTCAACAAATACATATTTATTGATATTCATAAAAAAAAAAACGAATAAACTTGGAAACTGAAAATGTCCCTAAACAGTTCAAAAAATTTTGAAAATGTTATAGCTTATAGAAAATGTAAATATAAACAAACAGTAAAAATTGCATGTATCTACTTTTATTTGTTTTAATGTTACACCAAAAACCAAATTCGATATTGTGAAAAATCGATTTTGCTTAAAAATTCCCGTTTTTCCTTAATTTTTCTTTTGTTTTTCTTGGCGCCTTTGAAAATTATAGGAAATTTTAAATTTTTACCTCCTCAATGCACCAACAATATTCACTTTCCAATCGTACAAGATACTGAAGTTGAAAATCGAAGCATTATTTCGACTACTTATCGTGTACACAGACACAAAAAATAAAAAAATAAAAAATTTAAAAAAAACACACATCAATGTAAAATCAATACATTCATAGTTCCACTCAGAATCTAAAATATACATAATATATAGGACAATAGGTAATATGAATTATGAATATTTTATAATTTTTGCTATTTAATTTGTAAATTGTAATTTCCCCTCAGTATTCACAAAAAATAACGAATCATTAGGTATAGTTATGTCTTCGGTATTGATTTTGAAATAATGTATTCTCGTTCACTGCAGGACCTCAAATTGACGAAAAACCATTTGTACTTACGATAACATCACTCCGTTTGTTTGTACAATATTATATTTCTGAATATTATTAAAAACACCAAATTTTACAAAGGACTTTACGAGTGTAAACTATTAACGAATGATTCGCCAGAAGCATAATACACTCGTTACGTATGCCGCCGAACGAATGACAATACATTTTGAATAATATTTTACTCATTACGCCAAAACCGTTATTATTTCACATATTCTAGCACAACGAGTTTATATTTTTTGCATGGAAAAAAACAATAATCTTTTTCAGTATAATAGTGACGTTCTAGCCTTGCCAAATAATTTCGTTTTTCAATTACAGGTACACGTTTGCCTAAACTTTATAGGTCCCTACATTAGTTCTCGGATGTGCTTTTATGAAACGATTATGATAACATTTTGATGTGTATAAACGTAATAAACAAATATAACCTCCGGTGTGCGCGTGGCTACGCGTTATTCGTGTATATGTATTTATTTTATTTACTCGAATTATCAAATTTCGCCCAAATTAGAAAAATAACATCAATCGAATCCACGCCCCGTACTCTAAATATAATATTTATTCCTTTAGCCTTCATAAATATTTATTTAACGTTTGTGTTTATCCATCGATTTTTCCACGTTAAAACAGCTTTATTAAATCAAACAAGCGACGAAGGTGAACGCGGTACGCGTATCGGTACCGATTCGTATACGAATATATACCTACCGTTTTTCGTTGTATGCATACCATGGTACCAACAATTTTTCAAAACGCTGAGCAAGCATTTTTTTTTTCGCGTATATATAGCTGTTATGCATAATATTATATTATTCGTAATAACTGCAATATCCGTAAATCGCTCACACGTGTATTTTGTCATAATGTAGGTATATAGTTAATCAATCAATCGTCTAATTATAATAATATGTAGGTAGGTAAGTATACCTACGAGTCGCGTCAAAGCCGTTATTGTCTTACGGGGATTCCGGTTTAATGCTCTCTGCGTCATAATATATGTAGGCCGTAGGGGGTTAGTTACACATGATGTGCTGTACAGCTTTGGCACCAGCACATATACTGCATTATAATAATGTCGTGTACAACAATAATCCACTCAGTCGAATGTGTATAATGTACTAATATTAAGGTACCTGTGACGGATATCATTTGTTCTCCTCGATCGTCCGATTTGAAATAATATAATTATATAATTGCTATAATGTACAAGTATAATATAATATAGTATATCTAGGTACGCGCTTACGTGTATTTAGGACGTATATAGTAACTATTATGCATAATATATATTATAATAGTGTACGCATCAACGGTTCTCAAACTTTAAAAGTACGTGGACCCCGATAAAAAACTGTCAAACCGTGGACCCCTTTTCCAATTTTCTTTCAAATAATATCGTGTTTTTTTTTTTGTATATTACGTTTATATTTTCAACAATAGATCTCATGTTTATAAAGATTACAGAGGAAACAAACCTTATAGGTATACAAGAAAAAAAAATTGCGATAACTCAAGTATAAAATAATCGCATTTATACTTTTGAATTTATACCCAAGAATTTCATTATTGTACAGCCAGGTACTTATATAATTGTTATGAAGTCTTCATGGCTGAGACCACTGATAGCACTGTGGACTCCCAGCGGAGTGCGGACCCCAAGTGAGCCTAGGACCACAGTTTATGAACCACTGGGTCACTAAACACGATTTGTAAATTGTCCCATTGGCCGACTCCACTGCAGGGTTTCACGACTCGATCCGATTCGGCAGTCGCCAGTCATCGACAAC